TGAGCTTAAACGCTCACTATGGCCGACCGCAGGTCCCCTCTGACATTCCTCCTGCCCAGTGCAAGGGAACACCCCCCCCAACACATAATGGGTCACATAAGTGAAATGTTCCTGATAATAGATCTGCTGCAAACCTGTTGGATTCTTTGGTTTGCCACACACACGATCTTCTGTCTTCTATGCTGCCTGAGGTTTCACAGGAAGGAACCTTCAGTTTAAGAGAAGCCACTTACAGATTAATCCATGCTCCCAAAAACATAGGAAAAAATTAAACTATAACTTCTAGGCCTGATTAGCACCAGCCCTCATTCCCCACAGCCTTCCCTATGGCGTTCACTTAAAATCAGGCCCTCTGCTGCCATGTGGTGCTTTGCTCCTTCCGTGCGGCTGTGGAGTACACCCAGCAGCTTGGCGCCTGGCCTAATGAGTTCCTTGCCTGACACATCTGGAGAAGTGGCAGCAGCCACTGAGATGAACAGCCAGGCAAACTCAGCAGAGCACTTCTTGTTGTCTCATGTTCCATGCAGCTCGGAATTAAAAAGGTAAAGGTTCCCTTGCTCAAAAGCCAGTCGAATCCGACTCTAGGGTTGCAGTGCTCATCTCCGTTTCAAAGCCAAAGAGCCAGCGCTGTCCGAAGACTTCTCTGTGGTCATGTGGCCGGCATGACTAAACCCCAAGGTGCACAGAACGCTGTTACCTTCCCACTGAAGTGGTACCTATTTATCTACTTGCAATTTCTTGCTTTCGAACGGCTAGGTTGGCAGGAGCTGGAACTAGAGACGGGAGCTCACTCCGTCATGCGGCACACTTGGGTCTCGAACTGCTGACCTTTCACAGCCTGTAGTTCAGCGTCTTAACCACTTGAGCCACCGCAGCTCGGAATTACTCATTGTTAAAATCAAATTGCATGGAATTAAGGCAGCCTAGTGCCAGATGGTAATAAGATATTTTTCAGCTTCAAACTCTGAAGTTCCAGAAAAGTCAATGCAGCTTAAAAAAACCAAATTATTATGCAAAACGTTGTGCAAAGAAATATATCTCTCACAACAAATTAAAATCTTAGAGGAAAGCATTTGTAGAAAAACCACACCATTGCTGTAATTAAAGTATATTTAAGAAAAATGTTTATATGTGTCAATATCTAACCCAAGTTTCCTTTTCCAAAAGTTAAGGAAAGATTTCCAAACTAGCTACCAAAACAGCTTGTTCTTTTGCCTGCTCTCTGTCAGCTGAAAAATCTCAGCTTAGACAACCTGGCTACTTGCCACACTTGATTTATACGTGTTTTAATATCGGGCTTCTCAATTCCTTGTGATCACCATCTGAGCTGCAGAAAAACGGTCTGATATCATATCAGTATTCTGTGGCATAGTCTTAACATGCAACAGAAGAAGTTGAGGGTTTCTTGCATTTTCACCTGATGCTGCTTTCATTATGTGGAGTCTTTGCGAACCAGCAAAACCCCAGTTTGGTTGTGGACTACAGGAACACATGCTGAGCCAAGCAGACTTCTGTTTAAACTTGGCCCATGGCAACATATTCTTATTTCCAGGGGTCGTTTCGTAGAAAAAGAGCTAGGGGAACTCATTAGCATAACTCATTAGCATATGCCACACTCCCTGACATCACCGGAAGTGTGTCATAAGGCCACACATCCCGCCCCCAACGGTCCTGGCCGCCGCCGCCAGCCTTGCAGCTCCACTGCCGAGCCCCATGAGGGGCCCGGTGGTGGACCTGCAAGACCGGCGGGAGTGCAAGGAAGCCCCGCGAAGGCCCTCCCTTGCCCCAGGCAGGCAGGGGTGGGGAGAGGCAGGGAGGAAGCAACTTACCCTCCCTCTTCTCCTGCCTCCTCCTGGCTGAATGAGGGCCGGAAGCGGGGCGGCCGGAAGCAGGGGGCGGGGCTTCGTCATGTGCCCCGCCCCCATACCTCACCCGGGGGAACTGCGATCCCCCGCGTTCCCCCAAGAAATGACCTCTGCTTATTTCACTTCGGTGATCTTTATCTGTAAAATGGGACCGGTTGTGATGTTGTAACCTTGGTGGTTACAAATTTCTGTGTTATACCTCTGAGGATGCCAGTCACAGTTTCTGGCGAAACATCAGGTACTACAATGCCAAGACCGTGGCCAGACAGCCCGGAAAATCTACAACAACTAATTCTTGACAATGCTTGGCAATTCATTCCTCTGACCCTCTGTGTTCCTTCAGATACCTCTTCCTCTACCTCTCGGTTTTGTCCTGTCTGCAAAATGGGGCAAACAAAAAATATGTATGCATGTGGGCCCTGTTCAGGCTCTGTGACTCTCTTGCACCAATGAAATGCAATGAGAATCGTGTGAAGAGGTAGTCATGGAATCATAGAGTTGGAAGGGACCTCCAGGGTCATCTAGTCCACCCCCTGCACAAGGCAGGAAATTCACAAATACCCCCCCCACACACACACACACCAGTGACTTCCATGCCCAAAAGGTGACCAAAAAAAACCTCCTCCAGGATCCCTGGCCAAACTGACCTGGAGAAAAATTGCTTCCTGACCCCGAAGTGGCGATCTGCATTTCCCTGGTCATGTCTGTGCTTAAGGAATCCCTGCCCAGCTTTATGGAGTGGTGGGCTGGTCATTGAGTGCTGAACTTCAGTGTCTCTTGTGGATGTAGGCCTGGAAGATCAGAGGAGTGCCGGACCTCTTTTCTCCTGGCAGACCTTGGGTCCAGCATCTCGGAGAGAGTTGCCGGAGTCTGCGCAGTTGCAAGACCGCACTAAGGTACAGTGCTGGTTCAGTGACACATGTATGATATATATTTATTATTAACAATTGGTCATAAGAATATATATACAATCTTCCATTAAGAATGTGTATCTTAATGGAAGATTATAAATTCTCATGACCACTTTGTTAATGCATGTTTTATTCTGCTGGTCCGTAATTGTGATAAATTATTGGTTGATGGCTTATGGACACATCAGGCAGGTGTTCATTAGGTGTGTACGTAGCAAGTATTTGCTACAGGATGAGCTGAACCTGTTGAACATCTGGGCACATTCCCAGGATTTATTCAGCTATCCAACTGAAAGCCTATGGCTAGAGTAGGTGCTTGGGACCTCATTTGTGAGAGAGCAGCCAGGCCCGCCTATGTTGTTAGTACTTCGTAGTCTGCAGAGCGTTCTGCATTGATCCAGGCTGGGTCTTCTCCAGGCACTGCCCCTTGCCCCTGGAACAGCCTCGGGGGGGGGGTCAGGAGGGTTGTCCGGAGAGGCCACGAGAGAGCTTTGGGGGCCGCCTGAACCTGAGCAAAGGGGGAATAAATGCCCTGCTGGTGGAGCAAAAGGCTGTGGTGGTCTGATTTTAAGGCCTTCTTATAGCTGTTGCTTTAATGTTTGTTCTTTTTTTCAAATAACATTTATGTCGTTGTGCCTTGGGTCCTGGATGTCCTGGAGAAAGGCGGGGTTATAAATATTTTGAATAAGTACTTTTTAAAGTAGCAAAGTTTTAAGCATTAATAGGAGGCTTTGGAATTTCTGATCTTGCATCTCTAGCTCGAACACAGGCCCCAGCCCGTCATGGAAGGTGATGGGAAATCTTTGGCTGTGTGATGATGAGGTCGGTGCCCTTCAGCCTGTGTGCAGCAAGGCCCTGCACAGAGCAGCCTTTCTTGTCTGAGGGAGCCTAGGGGCCATGGCAGAGAGAGGAGCAAGCCGTGGCAGGGAATGACAGACCCCCCCCCCC